CCTCTCCCTGCCTATACACAGTAGCCTAGTACTGGTAGAAAAAGATCACACATCTTCCCATATGACCCCTGCTTACTTAGTTCAGGTACGTATGTAAATGCTTTGTGGTTGTTACACTGTATTCTTTAGAGAATAATAATAAGTTTGTGCACATTCAGTACAAACACCATTTTTTTCAAATATTTTCAATCCATAATGAGTTGAATTAACTGATGTGGACCTGTGAATACAGAATGCTGACTTACTATAAAACAAGAAAAAAGATTTTCACTCATTTCTGTCTATCTCAAACTAACTGTATTCAGCTTTCTTCACTGAGCTATTACACATCTGGAGAATCAAATGTCTAAATTAGTATTTCTTTTATGAAGACCAGTTGCAGTGATACCAATTTGCCTAAAACAACAAAAATAACAATAAAAATTCATTGAAATCTATCTGAAGAAGGAAACTATACAACTAACCTTAGGAGTCAGAGGTTTTCAAGCCTGAAGTAACATCACATTCTTATGAGCAGTGTTCTAGTTCTAGTAATCAGTGGAATGCATTCGACCTGATCAAAGAAGTCAGGTTGCTTGTTATAGTTTGTGTATGGATGTCCCCCCAAAGCCTCACACAGTCATGGAGCGGACTTCTAGAGTTTCTGAGTGATTCTTGGTCCAATGCTGGGATTATGGGTGTGAGTCCTATACCCACCCTGGGGCGGGTAGCTTGCACACAATATAAGGGAGGAAAAGAAGCTTGCTCTCTGCGGCTCCTCCCTTTTTGCTCTTGCTGCTTTTGCTGTTTTCTGCCACCATGAACTGCTGCCCTCTACCATGTGCCACTCTGCCTTGGAGCTAGCCGAGTATGGACTGAAACCTCCACAAACTGTGAGCTAAATAAAATTTTCCCTCTTTAATTTGGGTATTGGGTGTTTTATTTCAGCAGAGAAAAGTAGCCAAGACATTGCTGTTCCTTCTTAAAACACAAAACACGTCAAGTTCCTTTCCTGTTAAAACTACACAAGCACATGAACGTTGTAGTTTCTTATGGTGTATTACATAGTTAATAACTAGGAAATCTAGCAATTTAAAGAATAAACGTTATCTAAATAACCTGCATACATACTTATGATGTAACAGACTTAATACCTATAAATGTAAAGATGTGTACCCGTAAACATAAAATATATTACTGCTAACAAGGTAAAAACATTTTTAGAGTATTATCAATAATAATAAGCTATCATCTACCAAGCCAGCCAGGTACTACTTAATCTTTGCAATCTTGTAACATCATCATGAACTTTACATATGAGAAAAATAAGGCATATCAGAGTTTAGCAACCTGCAAGGCTGTATAGCCAACAAAATTCCAAAGCAATCAGTCACATTCACTGTGCTGCGTTTAACTCTAGAGATCAGGTAAACTTCTGTCAAGGGCCAGATAGCACACACATCTGACAAAAATGTATGGTAAATGTTCACATTTTAGAACATTTATTGCAGTAAGAGACACCAGACATGGTGGCATACACCTGTAATCCAAGCACACAGGAGGCTGAGACAGAAGGATTGCCACAAGTTCAAGGCCAGCTTGGGCTAAACAGTAAGTTCAAAGCTAGCCTGAACTGCATGGTGAGACTGTGTCAAAACAACCAACAAAGATAAATAGACAGACAGACAGACAGCCAACCAGTCAGCTAGCCAGGTATGGGGTGCACACCTACAATCCCAGCACTTGAAAACCTGAGGCAGTAGAATCATCCTGAGTTCAAGGCAAGCCTGGGTTACATAGTGAAGTCAAGGCCAGCCTGAACTACATAGTGAGACCCTGTCTCAATCAATCAATAACTGGCTGATTCATTGCTATTAATGCCTCCCAAAATCCTCCCCCTCATTTCAAGCACACTTAGCCCATTGTCTTTCCTATTTTCCAAAGTAATTCTGAAAGTCTTTTTTTTTTTTTAGTGTCTTTAGTTGCACTGTCTTGGCTGCCTTAATGTGCTGAACTGATTCAAAATGTTTACCTTTCATCATCATTTTGACTTGGGGAAAAGCCAGAAGTTTTACAGTTCCAGATCCAGTAAATAGGTGGATGAGGACACACAGTAATGTTCTTATTTGACAGAAACTGCTTTACCAGAAGCAATGTGTAACAGGGGACATTATTAGTAATGGAAGATGAAACCATCTGTCCATTTCTCAGGCCATATTCTATGCGTGTTGCTTTTTAAACACCTTAAAAGCCCTTATAATACTCTGAGGTTATTGTTCATGGACACAAATTCAGCTCATACAATTCCAGCAAGGTCAAAAAATACAGTCAGCACTACCTAGATGTCAGGTCTTGACTGACACCACTTTTCTGCCTGGTCTCCACTGAGAATTCTAAACCTTAGACTCAGAATCACACCCACAGACCCAAGTTTCATCTCTCGTGATGATACGTCTTAAAAAGCTGGGATCAGAAGCACCACAATCAGGCAACTCCAATGAAACTGGCAAAATTTCACATAAATACATTGTTCATGATCCGTGATTTATGGTAAACTTTAAAACACACATTCTCTCAACTGCTGCTCACAACTGAATGACTGCACTGAACAAAGTGAAACTTGCCACACAGTGTAACTAAGGTTCAACTTGCTGCTTGTTGGATTGCACGCAGCAGCAGCATTAACTCTATTTTGTGGTTACACTGTACCATGTATTTTAGGCATTATAGGTTACACCATCTATGTCACAACTACTCAGTTTTGCAACTGGAGCATGAAAGTGGCCACAAACAATATGTAAATAAATGGGCAGAGTTATGTTCCAACAAAACTTTAATTATGTATGCTAAAATTTGAATTTCATGTGTCACACAGATTATAATTTTGTTTTGTTCTATAATTTTTTTCCCTTTTGGTTGCATCATTATGAGTGTTTTCATATAAACAACAAAAAATCACAATAAAAAAAAAACCAAAACAATAGTTTTTGATGCATGCAGTTGTATCCTCAGGATGCTCCAGATGTTTCCTGATAACTCTATAGTTTACAGACTAGTTTTGTCCAATGAGCAAAGATCAAAATCAAATGCTGTGTTTGTCATATGAAAGTGTCCACTTGCTTCTATAAGGTTCACAATCTGCTGCAGAATGTGTCTCTCCTTTAGCATCATTAACCTTCTGTGCAGCTCTACCGACTTGTCCACTTAAGCCTTCTAGCATTCACCATTCTTTATTTGCTTATCTCATTTGCTTTGCTTTATTGGACTTTTCAGTTTAAGAATCTGGTTGTTTTCGGTTTTTAATGATGGTGAAGGAGGTTCATGATGTAGGGGTGAAAAAGCAGAACTGCTTTCACTATCACTGCCAGCACTCAAGCTAACTCTGCGACTTCGGCTGCCCCTTCTATTTACAAGTCTTTCCATTTCAGAGTCATTGTCATTATCCTCTGCCTCATCCAATGCCTCCTCACTGTCATCAGAATGCAGATCTTTCATTATAGACTTTAAGGGACCTGTTGCCTGGTCTGGGATGGTGTGAAGCTGGAGCTGTACCTGCAGCTGGAGCTGAAATAGCTAGGACTGGGTTGCTTGGAATCAGATTTAGAGGACATATTCTCCTCCACGTCTGAATCATTGGGATCCACAATATCATCAAATGGTGGTAAAGTTGATTTTTTCTTCTCTGATATCTCACTTTCGACTTTGACCTTTCCCATCTTGACCTAAGATTTACCTTTTATCTGTTTTTTATCAGCAAAACAAGTGAGTTATCAGTGGTGGTACGCTGGAAAAACTTTTAAATGAAACCTCTGAGCTACTCTTTTTCCCTTTTTTGGCTGAGAGTTCTTCAGAATCTGAAATAGAGGCCTTTTACTAGAAGCCTTCTTATCTTGCTGTCTACTGGCGATGGTAAGTTACTGTCTGGTTTTGGCTCTTTTGACATGGGTTTAGGTTCCTTGAAGGCATTTTAGGAACTATTTTCTCTTCTTTCAGTGGCGTATTTTCTTTGGATAGAGGATTCTTTGGAAGATTTGTTGTGATCCCTGCAAGGTTCTTTGAAGGTACTTTTACGTTCTCTGGAATCTTTAGAAGGTTTTTCCTTGTACTCCTTCATTAATTTGTGAGGCTTTGAAAAACTAGTACTGCTGCTGCTGCCGCTGCTGTTGCCACTGCTACTGCTGCTGCTGCTGGTATGAATACTCCTATTAGGGTCCCCTCCTGCCTTCAGCAACTTTCTTCTAAAGTCCTCTGTGGGGTTACTGAACGTTAGCTTCTCACAGCAGAGATGATTCACTGGTGGATAGCCTTCAAGATGCAGGAATAAGTCATAATCAAAGGGGACTTTCTTAGGTTCTTCCTTGTTTTTAAAATAAACCTCAATTGGCAAAATGAAATCAGAATACTCAGATTCTCCTACTTTGTAAGGTGGATCTCTGCACACTCTTCTGGCCTAGGAAAGCTTTCATGCAAATGGAAGATGACTTTCTCCACAAAATGCTGTATGCTGCTGTGCTCCAGGCCGTGCAGGAACAACATCCAGTCGTGCGTGAAGCCTTCCACGGTGGGTTTCTTCCTCACCTGGGCCCGGTGCCCCAGCTCAAGCCTCACCTGCACAGCACACGAGCTAGCCATGCCTGGGGGCCCAGAGGTTTGCTGGGTGCTGCATGGTTCCCCCTCCTGCCCCTCAGCTGTAATCCATGAAGAGGCAGCTATGAATGAGAGCACGCCCAGGAGGGGAGGGTAGATGGCAGACATTCTCTGTCCCTCTGCCCCCGCCTCCCGCCAGCTTATTAAACTCCATAATTTTGACTTTTAACTTTTGTAACAACCACTGTTAGGCCATTGGCCATACAAAACTCAGAAGTAGGCAAATATGGCCCATCAGTTAGCTTATTAACTCCTACTTTAACTTAGACATTAAATATTAATGAAATATAAACATATTTGTTAAAGTAATCAGTATCAAGTGATTTTATCATGTATTACTTCTCTATACAAGTTAATATTTAAAATTACGTTACCTTTTCTCTGATATCACTTTTAACTTGCTCATCTTGAGTTACTTCATTTCACCATTGCAGATAACCTAAAAAATAAAAATTAATGATATTAAATATTTACAGAATTCCATTTTCTATATGTAAGATGTCATAAAACCATACAAGTAAAGTTTTTATTACAAGAAACACACTATAACATGGGAAACTAGTTACATTTTAAAATATTTATTACAGTAAGAGACACAAGCCAGGCATGGTGGCATACATCTATAATCCCAGCACACAATAGGCTGAGGCAAAAGATTGCCCCAAGTTCAAGGCCAGTCTGGGCTAAACAGTGAGTTCAAAGCCAGCATGAAGTATATAGTGAGACTCTGTTTGTCTCAAAACAGCCAATTAGATAGACAGATAGACAGACATGGGGCGCACACCTATAATTCCAGCATTAGGGAGGCTAAGGCAGGAGGATCATCATGAGTTGTAAGTGACAATGAGAGAATGAGTCTTATGTGCTTCTATTGTAGTCATTTAAGTGCATACCATGTGACTATTAAAACATCTACAATCAACTACAAAAATGTTACACAGGAGCTGGAGATTTAGCTCAGTGGCACAGCACCTGTTTGGCATGCGTGAGGTCCTGAGTTCAATTCCCGGTACCCAAAATAAATAAATACATACACAAATGTATATTACACAAATCTTGGGACAAGAAAAATGCTGAAATCAAACAACAACCAAAAAAAAAAAAAAGAGTACTGTATTCATGAAATCAAACAACAGTTTATGGTCACATGAGCTCTTGTGAGACAGTTCATCTCATCCTTCCTATTCTAAAATTCCTCCTTAAAATACACACAGCAACCAAAGCATCCTGTGCTTAGTGTATTTACTGTCCAACATTTCCTGTGGTAAAAATTTCCACCTTTGAGTAATATTCTTTATACACTTTAAACAAGCTTACATCTTAAGTTACAGAATTTTATAATTTTCGTACCTACTTTACAACTATTCACATAAAAATAACCTGAATATCTTTCAATTGTATACACTAATGCCTAATGTAGTAGCAATACTACAAAATGACATGACTGCAAATCTAACAATCATATATTTATACAACATTTACTAATGCTATTGTAAAGGAAAACATGGGAAAAAGCAGCTGTCAAATCATTTCACTTAATAGATTCAGAAGTTACAAGTATTCTCAATGCTTTTCTTCAATAAACTTTTCAATGAACACAAATAAGCACTTTTTTCAGTTTTCTCATTAACTCAAAAAAAATACGTTTTAAGGATTAAATACAAAAATTACATGAATTGTTTTTAAAATCATTGAGAAATTTTGAACTGCTAACTACTCTTTGACTCATTTTTTAAATTGACTACAAAGTCAAAGTAACTTTTCTAATTTTCAATTTAAGAATTGTTAGGCATGGTGGCGCACACCCATAATCTCAGCACTTGGGAGGCTGAGGCACGAGGATCGCCATGAGTCTGAGGCCAGCGTAGGATACACAAGTGAGTTCAAGGCCAGCCTAAACTGTAGAGCAAAATCATGTCAAAAAAAAAAAAAAAGAAAAAAGAAATCATTATACTGCATATCCACAAGGGGAAAAAAAATCTTCTGTAATAGGAACCTAGAGGCCAGACCTGCAGATACCCAACAATTAAGTAAAAGCAGGATGAAGTCTGGCATCTCTCTGCTCAGCTCTGCAAGTAGGCATGTTAATCGTTTGAAGTGCACAAGGTTATCAGCTCTCAAATTACCTAGCCTGTCTCATCCCCCTCAAGACTGAGGGTACAAGGTAAGAGTAAATGAAGTCGTTTTCCAGATGTATGAGGACAAACATTCACTTGCCAATTTGTACAATGTACAGTTCCAGACAGCCTGCGGCCGTTGCTGAGAAGGCTCCATCACTGTCCTAGCCCTGCAGTCACCTCAGATGCCAGGACGGACAGAGCCTTACAGACCACCCATGATAAGGTGACCCCGCCCAAAGCCAGAGCCACATCTCACTGTGGAAACCGAATGACTCCCTTGACTGATGACACTCTCCCAGAACTTCACAGAAATAGGCACTCCAATAACCCACACTGGAATCACCAACACTGTCAGCTATCAACCCTCAGCTATGCAAAACCCCAACTCTTGCCTTTGCTCTCTGTTTCCATACAACCCCAAACCCTCTGTCAGCCCCTACAAGGCAGATCTTGGCCCTCTTTTGTCTGCACTTCTTTAAAGCTACTTCCCTGCCCTTTACCACGGCTTGACTAACGTTACGAGAAAAAAATAAATCTTTAATTTCAAACCTGATGATATGGCAGAATTGGTATACAGTATTAGAACACAATCATCTATCCCAAATCCCCCTGGAGTGCTTTCCTGTATTTTAGAAGCTTGGAAGCTTTAAAAAAAAAAAAAAAAAAAGCAAAATAAAACAAAACAACACTTCCTCTTCCAATTCCTTCACTCTTCTTTAATAGCCACTCTTCTATTTTCATGCCATCTTTTTGCGGGGTCGGGGGCCTAGATTCCCTTATGTCTTAAATACTAACATTCATGCATTTATGTTATGCAAATATGCCTGAGAATCCAATGTGGCAATTTTTGAGGATCAAGTGTGAGAAGTGCCAACAGACAATTCTGGTAGGTTAGTAAAGCAAACCTGTATCTTGTAAACCATTTCACTGTACTAGTGTAACAGCAGACACACGCAAGAGTCCATCTTTACAATGCAAACTACTGAGCAATGGGTTTATATCCACAGTGATTGCCCATTCCGCCCTCCCTGCAGCAAAGTGCAAGGGTTCCCTGTCTTCCGCAGCTGCAACAACACTTGTTATTTTCCATTTTTAGGATTCTAGCAGTTCGAGCAGGTGTGGACACTGTGACTTTGATTTGGATCTCCCTATTCACTAAATATTCAGCATCTTTTCACATGTCTGTTGGCCATTTGTTTACCTGTGAAGAATGTCTAAGCCTTTTACCCATTTTTAAATTGACTGTGTTTTATATGCACAAACTCCCCTCTTAGGTATATATGCAAAATAACTGAACTCAAGGAACTTAAATCCTTTATGCCCATTTTCATAGCAGCATTATTCACAAAAGGTGGGAACAATCCAAGTGTCTCTCAAGAGATGAACACATAAAACAAATGTGGTACATATTTAGAATGAATATTATTCAGTCACAAAGCAAAATGAAGTTCTGATACAGGGATGCACCTTGAAAACATTATGCTAAATGGATCAAAGACTACAAGACCTAAAACCATGAAACTCCTAGGGGAGAACACTGGTCTTGACAATGATTTTTTTTTAAATAAAATAGGCAACAATAGCAAAATAAATAAGTTTGATTACATTAAATTTTAAAACTTGGGCACAAATCTCAGCACTTGAGATGCTGAAGCAGAAGGATGGCAAGTTTGCAGCCAGCAGACTACAAAAGTTCTAGGCGAAGCACAGAGAAAGTTACACAACTCAACAGAAAAAATGGGGGGGTGCCCTTATTCAGGTTGTTAAGCTGTATGTATGATAATTAACTTTACAAGGATTTATCAGATAAATATATGAATCTGATGCTGGCCAAAAAGGGGTTGGGAGGCAGGGGAGAAAAAGAACTGAGACGTGGTCTGTCCATGTACCAATTTCTCCCAATTAATGTAATCATCATGTGCTGTAAACACAGCACAATTAAACTGGAGAAATTAAACATTTCTCCCAAGATATAAACATGAGCAACGTGTTTATGAAACAGTATTCCACATCCCTAACCAAAGAAATGCAAGCCACAGTGCTGTTGCCTCCTACCTGGAGAGTGCCTACTGTCAACAAGACAAGAGACTGGTACTCCACAGCTCCTCCAGAGCATGAGATTGAGAATGACATTACACTAGAGCCAGTTCAGGCCAGAGCAGGTCAGTGTAGACCCACAGCAGGCCAGGACAACAATAACCACGAGCAGCATGGCCCCCTGATTCAGGTTTCCTGACTGAAATAACAGTGGGATTCAAGAAACCATGTTTTTAGAAGCAATTTCACAATCAGACAAGGTGCTTCTTAATCATAAGAGACAACATCTCCCTTAGTTTACTGAGGCTGTTCTAAGATTTAGGGAGTTGTCCCTTAAAGCTCAACCGAAACCAACAGGCATACAATCCCCAGCCACTCTGGAGGCTGAGACAGGAGGATCACAAATTCAAATCCAGTCCGGGCAACTTAGCAACTTAGTGATACTCTGTTTCAAAATTAAACAGATCTGGGGATACTAAGCTTTGCCAGTAAAGGAATCATCCATGCTATAGACACCACTGAAAAGACAGCAGGGAAACAAAACAACCTCCTGGGTCCACAGCACTCTGTGTAGGTAAGGACTTGCTCTGCTGCCAGGGCACCTTTTCCATCCGGGGCTTTTGCAGCCATCCACAACTTCTGCACGAGAGCCCAGCTCTGCAGCAGAGCTCCTCTGCTAAGACCCAACCTAACCACAAGAGTGCTCTCTAGGCCCAAAAGGGCAGGCTCCAGCACTAGAAACTCAGCAGAGCTCCTAGCCTTGATCCTGGCCTTCCCTAACAGGTCTAGAGCTCTCTTGGGGATGGAGAAGTGTTCTACATCAGGCCTGGGATAGTAACTGCTCTCTACCTCTGCTGTTCTTATATCCATCCTTTGAAACTGCCTTGACTTCTCATTCAGAAGTCCTTCATTAATCACTCTCACGTCACAGTCAGTGAGTGACTTATTACAGTCTTTCCTTGTTAAGTTACTGTGTACTTTTCTGTCTCCCAACTGAACCCCCACTGGTACATCTCAACAAGTCTGTATTTAAGAGCAAACAGTAAGCCTCTGCCTGGGTAGAGTAGACCCACAGACACATGAATGTCCTGAACATGCAAAACAAATGAATGTTCTGTTTTGTTTTTAAATAAAAGATCTGGGCAGGGGGGTAGGTGACAGAATAATATCCTCAGAAATAAAACAGAGCTGTGACATCAATTTTTTAAATCCGGATACGGTTACTAATAGCTATCAAGGATGTTGAGAAATTAGAACCCTTATTGCTGATCGGAATGTAGAA